TTAATCGGACGTAAACCAATGTGCGACCAATTAATTTCGGCTCCCCATGATCTTCTGCTTCTACAGTCAAAACACACGTCCGTGTACAATTTTGCAAGCAACCATCCCTTGTGCAATTCACTGCATTATTCTGCAAGATTTCTTTTCCCTTGTTATTCATAGATCATCGTTAGTGACTGCGTGAAATGAGCACATTGTGCAAAATTTGGAAGAACCGAGAGATAGCTAAACTCCGTATTTTCACTGTCTCCGGATCCTTCGAATCGTGATTGTTATTCACTATACTATTGTTCTATAAGTAGTTTGAAAATTTCTACTGCAGGCTCGTACATTCATCTTTCGCATGTGGTGGATTTCCTGATTATTGTAGAATTCTCACAATGGTTTCCAGAAAGTGATGTGATATCACACCGTGCAAAGAGTCGTTATATCGCAGTTACTTCATTATGTGCCTATAAGCGCACTTCCAGAAGGATTGCACGACTGGGCCAGAAGCGTAGTATACACCTACTGACCCTTCCGACTAGTACGCACCTATTGATATTGCCAAAATAGTCCTCAGATTTTGTTTTAAGAATCGACCTATATTCAAAAAGTTCATCTTTTCGGTGATTCAGGAATTAAAAGATTAGTCAGTACCTTACTCCCATAGGAAGTGCTGACTCACAATTGGCAGACAATGATTCTTCATACCATCGGCCAACTTCCTCAAACATTTTCTATTCTCTCTCTGTTTTCTCTTTTGCATATCCATCTTGCAAATTATTCACACAACTGTTCAGTGCAAGGTGGGTAGGCAGCTGTACTGACAATTCCCGTTCCTACCCATATGTACGGCCTGTGGCACAGTTAAGAAATGAAACACAGACTGCATCCTAACATGCCCTCAAACATATGGCACTTAAACCAATCCTTATCTCTTATTTAATGTTTCCACTGTGGAGGCAGTGTTTGAAAATGTTTTGCTTTGCACCATCACAAAAGTAATTAACTCAAAATCAATGCAAAACTAATCAATTCGCCAAGCTGACAACACAAACTTGGCAAACACTGATGGTTTCTAGGATCATGTTTCGACTCTTTCATTTGACACCAACAAAATGACCACCAGGTGGTAATGCAGTATTGGTCAAAGTAGCTATGGATCACGCATATAATAGAAACACGTGAATCTAGTCATGATTTCGAGTTCAAAATTAAGCCTCAACAGTAAAGTTTAAATCGTTTACTTTGGAAACAAAAAAAATTAGGCTATTTACTGATCAGCATACGGGACGTTCACTTCTGTAAAACATTTCAAAGTTCCCATTTGCGGCTTACCCTAACAGTAATGATTCCAGTATCTTGATCGATTAGGAACTGCTCGAAAGGATTCGTCCTGAGCCGATAGGTTATGTGACCGTTTGCACCGATATCGGCATCCGTGGCTCGTACACGCAGCAGTTTTGCACCAGGTGTTACCGTTTCATTCAGTTGAATATCATATCGTGAATGAGTGAAAATCGGTGCATTGTCGTTTGCGTCCAATACGTTTACATATACCGTACAGTAGCCATAACTAAATTTATCTCAGATATTTACCGCATTAATTAAAATAAGTGATGCTCAAGAGAACAGAACTGACTGGAATAACAACCTTTGAAGGTTTGGTACATATGTATAACGAAAAGGTTGGATTGAATAGGATCAAAGTGATCAAGAGTGAAAAAATAAAGTGCGCTCCATATCAGAATAGGTTCTAGTTTTGATGAAATTCTGTTAGTACCGGTAATGTCCTATTTGAATTTTGACGTACTCTAGAGTTTTTTTTTTTGAGAGCCGAAACTTAATGACAAGGTCCCGAAATTTTTTTTTCTTTTGGTAGATTCTGAGCTTCAAGGGATATTTCTCCTACTTCACAACTTTTTTTGGCTACGAACCAAAAGAGAGTACTTCCCTGCTTTACTACATCCTAAGATTCCCCCAACCACAATGGCATCACCTCCAAAGACTATGAGTGTTACATAGTTTTATACGAAAAAAAAAGACTTGAACAGTAAAAGAAAGAAAAAAAGCAAACCGTGGAGGACTGCCTCCATCGTAAGCTGAAATATTGAGAATATACAAATCCTTGGTTTCACGATCAAGTTTGCTGAGCAGTTCCAGCAACAGAACATCTCCTCCGGTACTATTTGATGATCGAATCAAAGTGAACGTATTTTCATCACCCTACGGAGAATGATTGCTTAACACATGAGTAAAATAGGCCGCACGGTGTCACAACAAGCAGAACTTATGCTTTGGTTATTCCAGAAAGATGCTAGGTCGCGTATTGTTAGGATGAAGCTATTGGACTATACAAGAGTTGGGTGAAGTGATCGTTTAGCAAAGATCATGAAGTGACAGGTAGGACCGAAAAAATCTGTGCTGGAGGCCTCCTCCAGAAAATCCTGGTAATATCCTAGGATAAAATGAATCACCTCAATCACATAGCTTGCTATGGTGCCATTTTCAGCAAAATCCGGATCACTGGCCGACTGTAGACGCCTCCGACTGCCAATAACTGCTGATTCTACAATCGAAACATTCTGAAAGAAAATATTTCAGGGCTGACTTCGAAACTTCTTATATGTGTATTTTCTATATAAATTTTTGTAGATATACCAAGAATCTATTTTGTAGATATATCTCTCCTCCCCCTTCCCTCCCCTGCTCCTTTCGCTCCCAAACGAATTGTTCTCTCCTCCCTATCCTAATCCTCCAGAGCCCTCAGCAGTTGCAATCCCCCTAATTATGCTTATTTCAATTTCTCGCTAATTGCGCTGAATCCTGCTCTATGATCTGAAGCATATAATTGTGCTTGAAACTACCGGACTACTGCACATATGGATAAACAGTACCGTAACATCGGACGGACTTATGAGGGGGGCACCATGAAGCAATTAATGAAATGTAGGTGCTTTTCAGGATAAAGTACCTTTCCATAAATTACGGTAATTCTTTTGAAATGATAAGAGATCATCAAGTATTAGTAAGCGATATATGTCGAATAAAAGCCGAAGAATGCAACACAGTGGGAAATAGCACTTTTGCCGTGAAGTAGGTTCAGAATTCGATTCTGCCAAATTTTTCTACGATTCTTTTATTCGTTTCGATGTAAATTGGTACAAGGCACATGCCAAGGTTCGGATCCGCAATCAGTTTACTTGTAAGCAAGTTTTGAAAGAGGAAACCGTCAACAGCCTCACCAGCGAGTGGCTGCATTTGACATTTGCTTCCAGTCAAGTTACTTTCGGATTGCCTCTTCCTCTTAAAGCGGTCACGGAGAGCTTTTGAAAAAGCAACAGTTCAGGTATTTTTTGAAAGATATCCTCCAGCCTGTCGTTTAGCAGACCTGAGAATAAACAACAAATGGATCTTACTAAACTATATTGGGCATTCTGTATGTTCTCATTACTAAAAGCCCCAGGCCGGCACTCTGGAGCACATTATGTTGATAGGGAGATAGTGTATTTTCCCTCACAAAACGATCTATTCAGAATTTCAAGCTGCTAGATCCCACAGCCCCAAAGCTATCTGTAATTCGCATTCTTCTAAGAAATACAAAAATGTTGCTTAACGTAGTACGGCTCTGAAAAGTCCACAAAAATTAATCACTTTCTATGAGAAGCGGAAACTAACTCGAGCAATAGTAAATGCCAGTAGCAACCATTTACTCTTTAGGCTCTCGTCAGCCCTATCTTTCGTGGATTGCTTAGAAGCAGAATATACTAAACTGGTTTATAAAAATCTAAATCGAGTAGACGAAGCAATTAAAAGCGTCAAAATAATATGGGGTGGCTGTACGGGAAGAACAGCATTAAAATTGTGATAATTTCAGGAATTCGAACAAACATGAAATTCGAACGTTCAAAAATTTTAGCTAATTGAAGGCGCATTGTGGCGTACTGCAAATGAGCTGTAATTAAATTAGTTGTAGCTTATTTAGTGCATTACAGCACCCTCAATTACTGATTAGAAGTTTTTCACCATGAAAAAGCACTTCTGATGCAATTCCGCACGTGCTGAGGGCCAACTGAGGACAAAAAGTGCTTATCCTCTTGCCAGTGTTTCAGAAATTTCTTATTTTAAATCACTGTATGGTACCACAAGAACTACCTGTATGAGACAAATTAAGAACAGAGTAAAATAAAGAAATTAACAAGTTCGTCACTTTTACTCGATACTTTTTGTCAAATGCAACTCATAGCGCATTTCTCCAAGCGACACAGCAAACAATTAATGCATTTGCTTTGACCAATGTTGCATCACCTGGTGGTCAGTGCGCTGACAGTTCTGACGTTCGTTTTGTCTTCTCAAGGAATTATTAGCTCAACAAACAGCATTGGACAAGTTTCATGGAAAGCAAGAAAGAATAGAGCGGTAATACAACATTTGATCAATTTATGAAAATAAGTATAGCAAAAAGTAGCTTGGCAAATGTAAACAAGGCTTACTCGATGTTTCTGGACTTACTGCCAACTAAATTTTGGCCTGTAGCTTCACAATATATTTGACTCCTATTTTTGCCTCAAAATTTTTTGCTTCCTTTTTCAAGAAAACTTCTCGCCCCTTTAATTTTTAATTTTCACCCTCGCTTGTTTCTTCAGCTCCCATTACCATTCAATAGTTCAGTTTAAGATGCAACTGCGAAAATATTTCTGTTTTGGTTGCAAACTCACAAAAACACTGCTTCAAGAGTTGTTTCTTGAGCATTATGAATAATAAATTTTCATATCTACTATGATTTGCAGTGCTACAATTTTTTCTTAAAATCGTTCTGGGCCTTTTTTCTTTTTTCAGTTTGAATTTAGATCTGACATTGTAGACCATGGTGTGTTGCAGATGAGAGACCAGTGTGAATCTGTTGTGAAATGTGAATCTGTGAATATGTTTAATATGAACGGCCAAAAGCAAACTGACCAAATATTTGGATGGGAATGTCGGACTATTGTCATTGATATCGAGTACGTTTATTCGGATTGTAATAATTATCTCTGGCTCTGCAGTTAGCACTAAGATGATTGTCCCGTTGGGCGTAATTGTTTCTCTGTCCAGTGAT